CCACCCCCCACCCCACCCTTCATGTGTTATCGGGCAAATTGGAAAAGCTCAATCAAGACCAAGCTTTAGTTGTTAAAGATTGTTGTTCAGTATTATTAGGATTACACATACGGGTACAACGGATAACACAGACTGGAATGTGATGATTGTTCTTTTCAAGACCAGTATTCTTCTCATGGGAACAGTTCTCAAATGTCAGATTTTCTCATGCTTGTTCAGCGTAGAGTTTGTTAATGTTCGGATACTATCATATAAATTTGCTGGTGAACTTTGCTCCTGCAGTAAATGTCGGTGCCTTTTTCCCGTCTTGTAAAAGGCGCCGTAGAATGCTCCGTTTTTCCTGTCGGCACTCTGAGACAGACTTACTTAACATTAGTGTGTGAACATTTAATTCGGGAAAGCTAAGGCTTGGGGCACTTTTTCTCCTGCAGCGAGTCTGCTTAAAGGGGAAACGCTATGTATAGAGAATAGATAGCATTTATATAGCGCAAATTCTCGCTCAACAACAAGCTCTATGCGCCTTACAATCTATATTACTGATAACTTTCAGAAACAATCTTAGCTTTCTGGGAAGCACACGATGCAAGTGTCCATTTTACAGGCACTAAAATGACGAACATACTGAAAAGATCTTTCGCCACCTATTAATGGGTGCCCATTCCGACCTGGGTGTGTGAGTGTGAGGAAAATTCTTGTAAAGTGCCTTTCCCAAGGACACAACTTCGGGCCTGAGGCTCAAACCCCCCAAGTGTGAAACCTCATGAATATGAGTTCGGTAGCATAACCACTAGACTACCTATACCACAATAGATACAGTAGTTAATACTATGTACTGTAGAGACCTGTATTAGTATTTCAAAAAATGTTGCTATGGCAACTCATCTTGGTGGGTTTTTAAAAATTTTATAATCGAGTTGCCAAAAGTAACAGAAAGGACTTTTCATCTAGTTTAGAAAACAAGTGTCATTAAAAAGTGGATGTGTTTTTGTCATGTTTGTTCTATGAAGGAACATTTGCTCTTGTTTTGACAGCTGAGTTCATAAGCTGTGAAAAACAAAAATGTTTGTCCTTGCAATGAAAGATATTTAAATGCTTATTAATAAAACTTTTACCCATTTTTTGGGGTATTATTAGTTGGTAGTGAAGTTTATCTCCAGTTGTTAGATATTATGTAAGTCGTGGGTTTGTTTCCAATTTGTGCCACAAAAGTTCAGTTCTTTTCATCTTCTTCTTATAACATTCTTTTTAGGGAAACGGGGGTCCATTTCCAAAGATTTTTGTGTAAAATTTCCTATTTTAATAAGTGCTTACTTCTCTTTCACTTTGGGTGCATGTCACGTGTGAGCTGGTCTTTGATGTCATCAGGGTTGAATGGACTTCACCGTCTATTGTGTTATACTAGTCCTTTACTTGTTTTTATCTATTCTTGCTTATTATAACAAGTGCACATTGATTTTGCCACGTGTAATTTAATAAGGTCTTATTATTATTATTATTATTGCCTGTGATGTGACCTGAGGACGGGATTCTCGCATTATCCGAGGAAGGAGAGCAAGTGAGGAGCAAGGTCTGATTTCTGTAACCAGAATTGCATGCCTAATGTAGGCGTACTTTAAAAAAAAATATAGATAAATATACATGTAATGTAATTATTTTCTATAGGTGATACTCATTGATTTTAAGTTCTTGCATTTTCAAACATGCTCTTTTAAGATAACCTTTATTCCAGACAGCAGCCCCATTTTAGAGTTGCTCTGTGGTTTTGAAGTTTTACTTTCAACTATTCTGTTTGAAGTCATACTACTTCTGTCGATTGCAGACAGCGATACCGTTTAAGTATTGCTCGTCGGTTCTGATAGCACATGTTGCGGCACGTTCTTTGAAGTCATTCCGGTATTCCAGACAGCGATGCCCTACTTTATGTATTGCTCATACTCAGTGTTGAGCGAGAACTCAAATACTCATTTGCTCAGTATTCCTATTGTCATGTTGGAAATGAATGATGTACCGGTTGTATGTCATTGTGTAGTTCCCTGTAAGTATAAGTGATGATATACACCGGCGAGTTGGATCTGTCACGACACAGGTCTCTCATCATTCAATCTTGTACTTAAAGTCTTGCCTCAAAATGTAGCGAGATATGATTTGGATTTATATTTTAAAATAATTTCCGACTCGCTTAAACTTTTTTTCTATTGAATCTCTTTTTTTTTTTTTATGCATTTTTCTGTCGATGTGATGACAAGCAAGTTATGTTGTATGTGACTGGTGTGCTATTTGTCTATGAAAAAGGCTAAACTGGTTGACTGGTCTAAGTTTTAATGAATTATAAAAGGGAGACTCCTGTCCCTTTCAAGATTGTCATTATATTTAATATTATAGAAATTAGAGTTATCACTCTGTAAATGCACCACCAAATTTCCAAGGCATGTCAAAGAAGCCAAAAACTGAGTGGAGGAGAAATGTGAAATTGTGATGGAATTTCCATTTACACTAAGCAGTGGTCAGCAACTTAAGTAATTATTGCAGTGTGTCGACAGAAAATGTCCTTTTTCTTCTTGTTTGTCAACTACGCTATTGACCGACTTATGCTTGCTTTAGAGCCCAGACCTTTACACTGTTGACCCAAAACAATTAGTGCCAGTTTGATCAAAGGAATTGCAAGTTTTTTATTATGAGATAAGTGACAGAATACTCAAAGCAGTTTTGCGGGGGAGTATTATTTTTACCAATTACTTCTCCGTTTGATTTTGCTTTTAAAAAGTTCTGTTTCAGCACAGAAAAATATTGCCATATCAGATCTGGATGTAATTTTGCTAAGACTTAGAGGGAGAAATACTCTTAGTAGTCTTAGCTTAACCAAGTCTTTTTTGGACGCTTTCCAGTGGTGTAGCGTTATTGTTTATGATGCTGTTAATTCCAAAGTCAACTGAGCTGTTTATTCTCGTCTGTCACATTCTTGTCTACCCAGCACAATATATCACTGTGGTTTTTGGGAATGTGCTTCTTTTTTGAGTGGATTTATCTTTTTATCTTTTGGATATACATGGTTTTTTAAACTCCTTTTTATCCGTTTTATTGCTTTTACTGATCTATGTGTTTACGTCATAGTTTCATATCTTGCACGAACATATCATCACCTCGTAATGATCACTTTATAATCCTGCTTTTTTTTTTAAAAAAGCTTTTTAAAAGACTTGTTTGCGCCATTTT